TTATACTCTCGGCATTTCTTACAGCCATTGTTATGCTTGTTGTGTAGGAAGCACTTCTTGACAGGCTTCAGTCCATAGGTCCCGCTGTTAATGATGGAGGTTGCCGGGGTCGAACCTATGGATACTCGGTTTGGAGACGGGCAGCTTCCGTGTGGGACTAAGAGCCCACCCACCTGCCTGAGAGTATCCACTGCTAGCAGCATATGCGGCCGCTGCTGCTGCTTGGCTCGCCTGGGCTGCAGCGTAATACTGGAAAATAGAAAGCTCGAGTGATGTACTAGCGTCTCAATGAATCATGGTACCGAATTCTACCACTATAAGCGCCTCTCGAGCTCTAGTACCCAGATTCACTGTGTATTCTCTACTACTACTACTACTACTACTACTACTACTACTACTACTACTACTACTACTACTACTACTACTACTACTACTACTACTACTACTGCTACTACTACTACTACTACTACCACTCCTACTACTACTACTACTACTACTACTACTACTACTACTACTACTACTACCACTACTACTACTACTGTTACTGCTACTACAGCAACGTGGATGAAGAGACGATAAGCCACCTCGTCTTCCACTGCAGGTGCTTTAAGCCACACAGAGAATGGATGAGGCTGAAAATAGGGGGAGCTTTTCCACAGCGCATATCAGTCTTTCTCGAGGACGCTCGAAAAACTCGACTCCTCTTATGGCTCCTACGCAAGATTTGGCCAGACGGATGCCGAGAACTCGGTCGTCCGGCTGCGAACTAGAGAGGGACCAGCTACACGGCCTGGGGGGAAAACCCGCTGGGGCAGACTCAGTAGACCAGAGGGAGGCTCATCCGCTCGCATGGGTTCTGGATGACCTGTCCAATACGGGCATACTGCCCGTGCAGCGCTAAGGCCGGACATCGGAGCTCAGCCTCTGATCGGCAAGGCTGCCCTCAACAAACAAACAAACTGCTACTACTACTACTACTACTGTTACTACTACTACTACCACTACTACTACTACTACTACTACTACTACTACTACTACTACTACTACTACTACTACTACTACTACTACTACTGTTACTGCTACTACTGCTACTACTACTACTACTACTACTACTACTACTACTACTACTACTACTACTACTACTACTACTGTTACTACTACTACTACCACTACTACTACTACTACTACTACTACTACTACTACTACTACTACTACTACTACTACTACTGTTACTGCTACTACTGCTACTACTACTACTACTACTACTACTACTACTACTACTACTACTACTACTCTACTACTACTACTAC